AATATAAATTAATATTTAAATAAATAAATAAATAATTACACAACCGTTCAAACGTTTGGGTTCAGTAGAATTTTTTTTTTTCAAAGAAATTGATACTTTTATTTAGCAAGAATGTATTAAATTAAACAAAAGGGACAGTGAAGACGTTTATAATGTTACAAAAAATATTTAAAATAAATGTTTTTTTCTTCAACTTTCTGTTAATCAAAGAAAGTGCTTTTTGAGCAGAATTTAGAATGATTTCTGAAGGATCATGTTACAAGACTGGAGTAATAATGCTGAAAATTCAGCTTTGTATCACAGGACTAAATTACATATTAAAATAATACAGTCTTTTCAAGCTGTAGTAATATTTCACAATATTACAGATTTTCCAGTCATATGCGCAAACATAAAATTAACACTAGCATGTCATGTTGCACTGTGAAGATCAATTTATGTTCTATGCACTGTCACGTTGGTTAGTTTTACTTTTAGATTTATCTGCATTAATTTTCAATGTGACATATTGCATATTGAGTATAAAAACGTGATAATATATTCCATCTGCATTTTTTTGATAAATGTGTTAGACTTACATCTTTTGCTGCTGTGCTATTTTTTTCCTGCTCTCATATCCAGGTATCTGTATATGGAAGTTTGCTTGAGAATAATTTGGCAGTTTGCAGTATTTTCCAGTATTGTAAGATGCATAATTTGGTAAACACTGTCTAAAGCAACTACATGCAACACGATCTGCAGCCCAAGCTTTCGTCACAGTCTGATTGTGAGCTTGCATGACTATTTCATACATCTATTCTAATATACATTACTATAACATAGGAAGACAGACACATCCTGAACAGATGTCAGAAGAGTTCTGTATCGAAACGCATACAGATTTTCTTCTGTGAAGCAGAGCTCATAACAGAGTAAATTGGAAGCTGTTTATTGATATTGTTAGAAAACAATCCGTGTGTGGTAAAAAAATAGTAGCAGCATGGTGATGCTAATAAAATTTGTCTTTCTTTCTTCCTTATGTGTCGCCATCAGGCCCACAGATTTTTTCGCCTACAGAAATCTGCAGAAAGCACTGCAGTTTCCTTTAGAATTAGAACACCCATCATTTACAAAGTGTTACACATCTCCAGCCCTTGAGTGTTTGTGTTCAGTCTGTATCTGTTAGCTTTGAGACCAACTATATTGGTGGATATTGATATTCCTTCTGAGCTTAGCACAGTCTCAGTGTTTTGATATTTTACTTCACACTAATATGTGTATATGTGTCTTCTTATTGGACAGTTATTTGTGATATTCTTACTTTTCGTACACATTTCCATGTGTCAGTCACAGGCATGGGCCTCTATTCAGAGTTAGCAAACAACACTGTCACTTCTGCGTCAGTGTGGTACTTGTTCAGTCTTCAGATCAGATCATTTCCAGGCCTCTGGGATTACATCCTTACCACATGCGGCTGGAAAGTGAGAACAAACATCAGAGACAGAGAATTACACAAGAGTGCAGACCTGTCACATTAAACCACATCCTGGTTATGACTCCCAGAGCCAAAGCCCACCCGCTTCCACATCAGTCCACATCACAGACTTCATTTGCATTTACATTCACATTCTAAGTAGAAACTTTCAAACTGAAGCCACTTACATTAAAGTGGACATATCACGTAAGCCGTAGTTACCAGTTATGACTGCTCAACATAACAACATTGGCTCGACCTTTAAGGGGATAGTTTCCCTAAAAATGAAAATTCTATTATTAGTTACTTGCCCTCATGTCGTTCCAAACCTGCATGAGTTTCTTTGTTCTGTGGAACACCAAAAATGTGAAAATCTGCAAATTCATTCAGGTTTGGAGCAACAGGTGACTGAATTTTTTTTTGGGGTGAACTGTCCCTTTAAATCCCTGGTCTTGCTCGGAGTCTTTGCTGGCTATCTGTTTGTCCGACCAATGGTAATTAAGCATGACGTCTAACCTGACTAAGTCCCATGGAGCAGGAATTGTTCACATAGACTTCATAGCGGAATTCCCATTCAAACATACATCTGGCCTTCAAATCAACGGCAACTCCTACGTTGGAACGTATTACAATATGGAATATTGTGCATCCTATGGATTTATTTTTATCACCTGGAGGTGATGGTGCATTTGTCAAAATGGGTGTGAAGACAGAATTTATTGCAAGTAGCTTCCCTTCAGGATGGAGGATCACAGAGGGCGCAG